TGATACTTAACAATATTATTAATAGCCCTTTATGTTCATGTGGAAAGTATGAAGATGTTTATCATTATTTTTTGCCTGCAGAAATTATCCAAACGCTAGGAATAATCTTTTTAATCGCCTATTTTTACTTGACAAATTGGTTAACATTGACACAAATTTGTTATTATGTGGTGATGTAAATTTGCCTGTAGAATCAAACACATTTTCAAAATTTATAATAGATATCATAATTCATATGTTAAAATATCCCTTCTATATTATATTTCTCTGATTATTCTTTGCCAAGTATAGTTACGCCATTTTGAGAGAATGAAACAATGTATGATTTACTAAATTTCGTGATTAATTAGCATAATTAATTCGTTCAGTTATGTAAATCGCACTTCACCTAAGTATACCCCGATAAACCAGACGTATTTCATAGCGGTCCACATTTTTTTTTTATTTAATACTGTTTATATAAATTTCCAATTCAACATTTAACTAAGTTTGTAAATATATAGTGTTTATTAGTTTATCTTTTTCCTTTGATCTTATGACTTTTTTCTCTGTCCTGAGGAAGAAATAGAGCGTCCCAAAACTTGTTGGTCATTTTAAGTGCTTTATATACATCTCCCTGTACATGTATATTTTTTGAAAGAAAAAAATAGCTGCAGCAGGCTTATAAAAACAATTTGAGTACAGTATCGGGAGGACGATCCATAGAAATTTAAGTGAAAGTCATCAGGTTTTATTATTAAAACCAAGTCTAATGATGAAAGTTATGCTCTCTCTCTCTCTCTCTCTCTCTCTCTCTCTCTCTCTCTCTCTCTCTCTCTCTCTCTCTCTCTCTGTCTTGATGTTTCCTTATCTATTTATATTTAAATATTTATTTAAATATTGGGCACTTTAATATACCCAAACTGTTAGTATCTTGAATTGATGAAATTTTACAATAATTGTCGAATAACAATTATATTTCTTTTCTCCTCTTTTTGTCAGTAAAAATTGTAATATCAATTGATTTCTATTTTTATGCATTGACTGATGTATTTACTCAATTTATTTACCAAATGGACTTTAAATATTGGTAAAAAAAATAAATAAAATAAAAACGTAAATGTTCATGTACGAGGAGTTATCAAAAAGTTCGTGGACTGAGGCTATAAAATTAGTACTATGTAGTCTGTGCTTTCAAAATTTATATGGAACATAAAACAACACAAAATAGAGAAATGTTGAAAATTTTAGCCTGATAGGTTCATTATTTGCCAAATTATTATAAAATGAAAACGACATTATATGATCACCCGGCGCTGTTGTCGTTTATTTCCATGACGTCCGATAACGTCATTGCTTTTTTCAATATCATCTTCTTCCTCATACATTTTTTGCTGAGATTCCCTGGAACTTAGTTAAGACTTAAACCCGCCTTGTTTTTATGCCTTTACAATGTCATTAACAGTGGCCTTTAATGAAAAAAATATTCCAGATGGATTAATACATTGGGAGAGATCCGCGCTTGATTGTGCAAGCATATTTTGCTTTTGGGAGTTCAATATCTACAACACATGATCAACGTCATTTTTGACGGGATTGATTTTTCACACCTTGACTGCAAATCGACATTAACTGTGTATCCCTTTACTCTCTGAATCTTTTTTGACATTAAAAGACAAGTACTCTGGATGCATATTATTTTTCTGTAGCCAGTTTCAACATATTTTAGACGTCATTTTCAAGGCCTCATTTGTTTGGACATTCCGTGTAAAAATTAGGATAAAATTTCATAGAACTTCCAGAATGAAGTGAAAATTTCATATTTTATAAAACAATTGTGTCCCGACACATACCTGAATGAACGAAATTTTTGGATGTCAAATAATCATATTAAATGAGTTTTTCTCAGATACACATAGGTCGAAAAAACGTCATTTTCGAGGTTGCGCCGCTTGGACATACCATTGCTTACAAAAACATTACTAATTTATTAAAAAATAAAATTCATGATTTGTGGTTTATTCTTTGGATAGAAAAGATAATGCTTACTAGATATTTCAAAATTCATTGATGTACCTTGAGCGGTTTTAATTTTATGGCGCTTGTCCACGAACTTTTTTGATAACCCCTCGTATAATTCTACTTGGAAAATCAAAACATATAATTAATAAATTGCTTCAATAAACAAAAGAAAATCAAGATATAAATATAAACTATAACCCGGAGAAGTAAAATAAATAAATATTAAATAATGTAATTTTATTTATCATAATAGATTTACACAGCACATTCAAACTTTATGCTTGTATGTACAGTGTTTAGATTTATATCGAATTAAATCAACACGTTCGATCTTATATCCCAATCGACAGTTCAATATGCTATTTTGATTGGTTGATGCGCTGATTGGTTAATCGCTAATTTTGATTGACAGCTCTGTAAAGAAATACTGAACCCGCGTTCGCTCTCTGGGACCGCTAATGAAATTGGGGTTCGCTATCTGAGTCCGCGTTGGGTTTGCTCGGGGTCCGCTACGGGTTCGCTTTGGGTCCATCCGGGTTCGCTCGGGGTCAGCCCTAGCGGACCCCGAGCGAACCCGGAGCGGACCCAGAGAGAGAACTCGGGGTCCGCTTCGGGTTCGCTTTCTGTTAGGTTGTGTCCGGTCGGTACTGTATGTAATTCTTTTCAAAATCAATAAGCATCGACGCCATGTTCTTTTCCCGTTGTTATGGCAACAATATCACAACAGAAATTTTGTTTTTCCTATTTTTTAAGAATAAAGTAATTAGATCTTTTAACAAATAAAGTAACCAAAATACCTTATCTTATCACGTTCAGAAAACATATTCATATAAAATGTCTAAAAATCATTGACTTTCATTAGGATTTATGAGCCCGTTGCTAAGAAAATGATTTTCCTTGGATACTAGTCCCTTCATACGTTCAAAAAAAAAAATTTAATTGTGTTTTAGCATTAGGTAGGACAAAATATTTTATTTAACAAAGGCTTTTGAAAAAATAAAATTTTGACTTTCCATTCAATGCTCGATGCTTGCTGATTTTGACTCTTAATGTATTTTCACTATATAATCAATAAAGCCCCACCCTAGCACTAGAACCCTTGACCCAGGGGCCATTAGTTTCACAATTTTGGTAGAGGACACATTATATCCAACATAACTATGAGCTAGTTAGGTTAGTTTATTTAATGCCCATGAGCAGAGAAGATTCTCAAAGAATTTATGCATTTTCACTATGTTATCAATTTAGCCCCGCCCTAGCACTATAACACCCCTGACCCTGGGGCCATGAATTTCACAATTTTGGTAGAGGACACAATGCTGATTACAATCATGCAAACAGTTTGACTGCTTGATGTCCAGGAGTAAAGAAGAAGATCTTTAAAGATTTTATTAATTTAACAGGTTTTTGACCCACCCCTCAGGCCCAAGGCTCACAAAATAATTTAGTGTTTCGGCAAACAAAATATCATTTGATAAAGGTGTGTAACAACGGCTTTTAATGTGTGTGTCTGTGGGGGGGGGGGCTCCCACGATAAAAAGCTGCGTACTATTGAACTGTGCTTCTCGTAAACCATCAGATCTCTATTTTTCATGATTAATTTCTTCCGTATAAATAAAGAAAATATGTAAGTCAAGTCCAAGTCAGTATGAGTTACATGTAGCAAATAACCCGATTTTTAAAACTTTTTTTAACTTACAAAACTAATTAAGTTCGCTAATCGGAGATAAAATTTCACAATTTTGCTTTGAGACTACAATCAGTTATAAGTAGGCAGATCATTGTAGAAAAAGTGAACAAACCTACATGAATATTGTCTACACCTTCAAATTTTCTTAATTGAATTTCAGTTAGAAAAAAACATGCATATGGTCCACGTATTGCAGTCCTTTTTTAAAAGGACAACAACTTGTCTTTTAATTAAATAGTAAATAAATAGTAAATGAAACTTCTTTGAAATAAAACTCGGACATAAAGCAAAATAATTATTTTCCGCTGTCGGTGTTCATTTTATTATCCAAGCACATAGAAATATTTAAACTTTCAGTAATCCCCATGTTCATTCTCAAACATTTAAGACAGATTTATTTGCACAAATACGTAACCTATCAGGTGTGGATCGAGATTCATTAGACGGGAACTACTATTTATTATGATGTTTAACATTGGTTGGATACATTTTGAAAAACTAAATTTCAAAATACTTTATTTTTATAATCAATTGGTAGATATCAAAGTAAATCAGATATCAAATTCTCAATAAAATATGCATAGAACACCTAATCCTTTTGAAAATTCCAAACAAAGTATGGAAATAATTTGATTAATTAAATGAACAAGAGGCGAATTTTAGTTTTATTGTTGACGGGGAGTTTCAAGATACTTGTACCTACACATTTTGATTTGAAAAGGGTATAAAAATAAAGAAATTTGAACATTAGATTACAATAAAACTCATAAAAAATAGTAATTTTTTTTAAAGAATAACGTTAGTGTCACTCAGAATCACCTCAGTAGCCACAGTATTAAACCTCAGAGATATTCAGTATCAGCTCTGTGGCCTCAGTATGACCTCAGTACCCCTCATTACCTCCTCAGTACTAACAGAGTCAACCTCAGTACCTCTCAGTATGTCCTCAGAGTACACAGTAAAAAACTCAGTGCTACTCAGGACTTCCTCAGTTTCTCAGTACCGGGCTCAGTACCACTCAGAACTTCCTCAGGGTTTTGTTGGATTCTCAGTGCTTTTTAGTTACAGTAGTGAGGGGGGGGGCAGGGGCCATGAAAATCACAATTTATGTTCCCCTTCACCCATAGATGCTTTGTGCCAAAATTGGCTGAAATTGGCTCAGTAGTTTCAGAGTAGAAGCTGAAAATGTTCAAATGTTAACACACGACACCCGACGGACGATGAGTGACTCAGGTGACCTAAAAATGCACAAAACTGTATATAATAGATTTTCTGTACGAAAAAAAAACTCTTTCATCTAAAGTTATACCTGCAAATGTCCAGTTATGAAATAAAGATCCCAAGGGGTTGTGTCTGTCAGTGTCGTATGATATAGCTTTCTCCTTCAGATCTTTAGACATGTCAACAACCATGAGATAAAATGCTCTTCTGGAGAGATAAATCTGGTGACACGCGTAATACGCTACTTGTCCAGCGAAATCCGTCATACTTATTAGTTGTCTTCCATCTGTGCTGTTAGAAGTTTTGTCTGACTGGATTCCATTTTTATCAAAATCTGAAAGAATGTAAGAAAATATTTGCAGATAAAAATAAATTCCTATTCATAAAATGAAATCATACATGTTTTAAATTAAGTGAATGATCCGTTTTGAAAACAAGCTGTTGGCCTTTAAAAAAAAGGACTGCAATTTGTAGACAATTTGATTGTGTTTTTAATCGAAATTTAATTAAAATGAATTCTAGATTTAGTAAAATTTCCCAATCTATAAACATATCAGCCTAACATATTTAAAAATAAATCACCTATTAATGTGTCATCTTTAATTTCAAACAAATCCTCGTGAATATCCAGACCGACGGTTGTCTTAGTTGGTTGTTCGTTTTCTTCTATGTTTCCCCTTTGAAGTTTTCTAAGAAGAGTCGTTTTTCCTGCGCCGGCGCATCCCACTATCAATCCTCTGGCTCGGCACATGTTCACACTGCCGTGACTTGAAATTTTGACGAACCTTTTTCTTGCTTTTAGGTCCCAACGAAGTACTTCTTTGGGTATCTTCACTAAACATAACATGAGTCTAATTATAATTATCCTCTTAACTGGCATATGCATGTAAAAACATATTTTGTTAGGGGACTGCAAGTTGATTCTGAAGGGGCTGGGGGGCTGGTTATTTTCTCCAAGTCAAATTATTTATTTTTATATAGATGAAGGACACAATATTTATTTTCATCTTTACTAAAACAGATATCTGACAAGCAAATGAAAAAAATAAATTCATCAATCAAAAACTCTAAATAGGTGGTGGTGGTGATAGTGAAAGGGGGGAGGGTTAATGGCTTTGGTCATGTACAGATTATTTATTTTCCTGCTAGTCGAGGGCGGATAATTACTTTCAACATTTTCGAGAACGGGTTATTTATATCCCTTTGTCATTGTCTCCCTTTCTTCAGAATCAAATACTTGTCCCCTCCATGTTTTTCGTCCCTCGCTGGATGTGGGATACATGTATATTAATTTCGGACTGTCGTTCCCTCCGTTTATTTTTCTGTCTTTCTGTAACGCTTTCGTTTGAAGCCATATACCGTATAAGTAGAATTTTAACGAGGATTTAATTTTGGCATTATTAGCGAGGGTGCTGACATTGCTAAAATTCAATATCGCTAAAAGATTAATTGCGTATTATTTGTAATAGTTTCTTTAGTTAGCATTTAAAAATCGCTAAAATTACTTCGCGCTAAAATTAAAATACCTGATTTAAGGTTGAAATCGATAAATTTACATCTCGCTAAAATTTCCACTTATACGGTATATCGAGAAGTCTTACAGCTTTAGCAATTACATGTACATTTTACACAATAACTCCAAATGGCAAAGAAAGACTTTTTTTTAAGGTCAAAATTTCCAAGGTCTAAGTTATAAATTAAAAGAATTCTTTCTGTCTATGGTCAAGATCAAGTAAATGAAAAACAACTAGTAGACAGATTTATCAAATTCCAGAAATTAATTCCTGCAATGATGCTTTATAACGTTAGCTTTATCAAATAAGGTGCGTCGTGTCATAATTTGTAGGTAAAAAAGATGAAAAACCATATTTTAAACAGTCATTTTCAATGAAAAATGAAGAAAATTTAAACTGATAACCATAAAAATACCCTATTTTCGTAAAGTACGGAAAAAAGAATATTGAATTGGATTATTATGTCATAATAATGTAGTACATGTAACTTCACAAAATCGTTCTACAGTCATTTACCAGATTTTGACCTTTTACACACGTTTCTGCGCGATATCTTGAAAAGCATTTGAGCTTGTGCAATGACGTTTTATACCTCGTTTCTCTATCGCCTATGGAAGATTTTGAAGTCAAATGTCTATGTCGTAAATACATGTAATGAAAAGTCTGTCTGTTTTCAATTACCAATTCTCCGCACGTTTCCACGCGATATCCTGGGAAGCGTTTGAGCTTGTTGAATGAATGAATACCACAACTCTCGTTGACCTATGAAAGACCCCTATTTGATTTTCGGTGGTCAAGGTCGTAAATTGATGTTCTGGGTCAGTGTAAAACTTTCAATTCCGCTCGATATCTCAAGCGGCTTTAAATTTTTGAAATTTTATATTTTACCAAAACTCCGGATCCCTTTGTCACCCCCCCCCCTTGCACGTTTTAAAGTGCCCGCTCGAGCTATCCCCCTACTTGGTCAGCACATCTTTTTCCCTTCAGCGAGGAACACGGATTCTCTGAATAAGCTTGCTACAATGTACAATTAAAACTTATCTCTAAACGATTGCATAAAAAAATCACTTTAATTCAAAATAAATTCTTTTTCCTCTAAATCCAATATTAAAAATAAAACAAAGGAAAAAATCTGCGAAATAAGTCATGTTGTTTAAAATCACTAGCATAAAAATGTTCATCTCTCTGTCTATGGTCTACCGGGTACTTTCGATAACTTGGCCTGATTTACAAAGAACTTGCGTATGAGACACATTTAATTCTTATAATCATAAATTTTAAAACAACACTTAACTAACAGGGGTTACAAATAAAATAATTTTCCAATCATTAAATGTATCAAACATTCACATGAAATGACATAAGATTTAATACTTTTGATTTTCCTTTTTTGAAAGATTACGCTACTGAAAAACAGATTAAAATAAATGTTTTTATACACAAATCAAGAAAATAAAAGAGTTAATTTAGAGTATCTTATTAAAAAAGGAGGAAGATTTGCCCTGAAATATTAAATTTTTACTAGAGTGCCACAGAGGTAATACTACATAAACCAGTGAACCACATAACTAGAGACAGATCATGGAGACGTCACAGGATGAAAAGCCAGGTTTCCCTAATTTGGAAACCCGATAGAAACATATGGGAATCGTGACATCAGTAGTTTCCATATAGTTTCCATTTTATGGAAACCACATAGTGGTTTCCACATAGATTCCCGACATGGATACAATCAACCTGTGGTTTCCCGTAGGTTTCCCAAGATAGGAAACCATGGAAACATACCCCGGTGGTTTCCATGTAGATTCCCGATATGGAAACAATCAACCTGTGGTTTCCCGTAAGTTTCCCAAGATAGGAAACCATGGAAACATGCCCCGGTGGTTTCCATGTAGATTCCCGATATGAAAACCTCCAACCTGTGGTTTCCCGTAAGTTTCCCAAGATAGGAAACCATGTAAACATGCGTCAGTGGTTTCCATACAGATTCCCGACATGGAAGCCACCAATGTGTAGTTTTCCTCATGTTTCCCAGGCAGGAAAACTTTGAAAGTATATCTCAATACTAACCCACCTATCTTTTATTTTACAAAAAGTTAAATATTTAATTATGTTACCATATTTTTACCAATTATAGAAATATTTCAAAAGTGTTTATATGCTGTATCAAAATAATTAACTTCAAACAGTTAAAATAACTAGATGTGTATTTCTGTCTGATTTATCTAATATTTCAGCACCGTGAACGCAATTCAATTTTAATTTAATTTTATTTAACTGAATTTTATTTAATTTAATTTAATTTTGAATTTGATTTATCACATAAGTTTTGGTAAACTCGTATAGAATGCGTGAAGTGGAATAGAAAAAAGTAGGTGCATGCAGTTATGTAGAAATCAATCATTTCGATCCCACTTTCTTGAAGCTGTCTATGATGAATGTTCCTTTGAAAAAATGGAAGAGCTAAGGAAGGGTACATTTAATGAAATTATTTACAGACAAGGTTTACTAAAAAGATCGATTAAAAGTAAATAAAGAAATATGTCAAGTTACGATTACTGATTAAGGAAAGGTGAGGCGTTTCTCAATAAAATAATTAATTTTTTCCCCAATATTTTGCAATTGACATTGAAGAATTATTTTTACATGATTACATGTATTCACAAGAAATCAAGGTAACTTACCAGGCATTTGTGTTAGATACCAGAGGTTGGCATTTCTTATATACCGGTGTAATCCGTCAGGAAATAAATACTTCAGTTGGTTTGTCAAAATTACATTTTTAGTGTTTCAAGTTTTTAAATACAAGTTTAGAAAGTGATTAAGATTTTGTTTTAATATGAATTAATATATTAATATAAACTGGTCAGATAAGAATCATTCATCGAATGAGCTGGGGGTTGAGTATTATCATACTAGTATTTTACTATTAATAGTGAATATTGTTTTTTTTTTTTAATTATTTAATAATTATTTTTATTATTGGGAGTGGGTGCGTTGCTTTTCATTTTTTCCTTGAGAAGCCCCCCCCCCCCCCAAAAAAAAAAAACGCTTTTGAAAAAGTCACTATGGTCGGCCTGTGTAATTAGGGACACCTGTCCTCACGTGCCATTTCAGGTGGAGACACGTGCCGCGAAGACACCTGTCACTGTGTATTTTTTGTATATTCTATGTGAATTGAGACGGTTTTGTACCTAAAGGGAACAATGGGCTGTTGTCGAGCATGTACACACACAGTCTCCGACAGAAAATTCTTTAAAATTAAGATGATGATTCGTGTTTCTTTTATCATTTAAAGAATTAACATATTTATAAAATAACCTACATTCAAGAAGTTCAATGAAAGAACAAACTATTTAGAATTTTTATTTCAATTTTCATTACTGATTTAAAATAAAACTATCCTCTTTAGAAATTAATTAATTTTCTATAGGTACTGAATAGATCTTAATTCTCGTCGTGTATAATTATTTTAAATCAGAATGACGTTAATAGATCAATGTGAAATCAAAACTGTATTTAATATTGTTGGTGGTTTTTTGTGTGAGATTTGTAATCTAACGTACTACAAAGACATTTATTAGATAAATGTTTATAATATAATTCATCACATAAAACGTTTTTTCTTTCCCCTTTTTTTTGTTTAAATATGTACGCAGATCCCCGTGTAGTAAACGCCTGCACTTTTCGCATGAAATTACAATATAGGGTCCTAAACGCACATACATTATATTTAACAAACTTTAAAATTTTCAGCCATTTTTTTCTCCAAAGGCCATTGCTCTAGATAAAGAAAAGTCTATAATATTTTTGCATGATTTTGTTTTCCTTAAGAACAATGGCTTTTAAAGTAGTGCATGCAAAGGCAATCTATTAAAGAATTAATTGTATAATTCATCCATTGTATAATTGTCACGATTGTATTTTTGTGCAGTTTTTGTTGATTTCATTCTATAAAGGTATGAAGTTTGTCAATACTCCAACAAACATTTCTTTATCTATGTTGTACACTACTTTATTTCTATTCGCCGACATGCTACTCTTTTTTTTTAATAATAAAAAAAAAGAGTAGCGTGACTAATAGACTCGATCTTCAGGCCTGTAGGAAAGTAATTTCCGTTAGAGTAATAAACTAACCGGGGTTCTATTTTTACTAGCATACCTTACCAGATTTCTTAACAAAAAAAAAAAAATAAAGAAATACAGGGCGGGACCAGCTAAAGCTGTATGCATAAGTACAGCCCTGCACATCAACGAGTATAGATGACTTTCGACATAATCTTTCCCATGACTTCACTTATGCCAATCACGACTAAAATA